GCCGCTGGGGGAAGAGCCAGACTATCGGAAGGGGGGGCTATGAGGGGTCTGGGCTGGCATGCCCCCTCATAGCCCCCCTTCTGATAGTCTTGCATATCTGATAATCCGGCACCCCCTGGGTCCTAAATGTGCTGGATTATCGGAAGTTTACTGTATCTTAATTAAAACTATCTTTAGATAGGTTTTTTCCCTCAAAAAGCGTTTTATCAAATAAAACAATTTAAATAATTGATTTTTATCCACTTTATCTCTGCATCAATTCTGGTGAGCCCTTTAAGTGGCTGAATGCCTGTCCTTCCCTGGTCAGTGAATCATTCTGGGGCACAGGCAGGAAGTAAGGCTACGTCTACACTGGCCCCTTTTTCGAAAGGGGCATGCTAATTTTAAACTTCGGAATAGGGAAATCCGCGGGGGATTTAAATAAAGATGTCGCCGGAAAAAAGCGGCGGACATCTTTATTTAAATCCCCCGCGGATTTCCCTATTCCGAAGTTTAAAATTAGCATGCCCCTTTCGAAAAAGGGGCCAGTGTAGATGTAGCCTAAGTGTCTGGATGCTTATGCAGTGTGGAAGTGATGTGTGTACCCAGAAGCAGGATTCTTCAAGCCCTGTTATCTAGGCAGTGTAACTAACTGACCCTAGTTGTTTTGGAATCATTCCTCAGACATTTCTTTAAAGATTCAGTGCATGTATAGGGGGAAATGCTAGCAGGAAAAGGTGCAGAATAGTGAAGTAGAGTTTAATATTATCGATTGCAGAAAACCCTTTAGGAAACTAATAATCCTAAGAGCAGCCCTCACTCCTGAAAAGGGATTTGCCTCACTCCTTTAAATTCTATCCTTATTCAGAGGCCATCCAGTAGTTTGGAGAAGCATGCTCTGCATTATCGTGTAAGATACTGTGTTTTGATTTCCAGGTCCAAGATGGCAGAGGCATGGGGTAGCGTGCTCAGTCAGTTGGGAAAGTTTCATGTTCTCTAGTTCTCTTTTTAGCAAGAATTGGCATTAGATGTAAACTGGTATGGAGTCTTATAATGTAATGATAGTTCACAGTCTACTCGTATCAGCTGAGATTTGTATTGGAAACATCCTTCTGAGTCTGTCCCCAGGGCAGAATATATAAATAAACTACTTACCTTTTCCTTACAGCTACAGTGGGAGCAGTATTTGGATTGACCACTTGCCTGTCTGCCCATATCCGGGAGGATCCGGAGGATGCCTTGAATTATTTGATAGGAGGTTGTGCATCTGGCATAGCCTTGGGTGCAAGAAGTAAGTTGTGGTGAGCATAGAAATGGAACTATCTCAACAGCATGAATGATTTAATGCGTTTATATCAATTATATAACACTCTCTCATTCCTAAACCCCTGTGTACAGAAAGTTACCTCCTTCCCGTGGGAATCTATTGTTTGAGGCATTAGAATCTAGCATCCATGGACTAACACGTTAAAATTGGATCGCCTTACTTGCCACGCGCACCTCCCAAACATTAGACTCTAACACTGTGCTGCACTGACATGAACCCCACCTCAACTTAAAAAAACCTGCTCACCAAGGAAAATTGCAGCATGCCCTCTCAGATTCAGTCCTTTTAGGAAAAGGCCTGTCCCAGAAGATGAGCAGAGGCTATGCCTATTTCAGAAGGACTCCATTGTGCCAGTCCAATCAAGGTGCAGAAAATTAAGCTGAGCTGAGCTGGCACTAAAGTAATCCTTGATAGACTGGTAGTCAGGACCTACAAAAACAAACTGCAAAATAAAATGGAGTTAACCCTAGTGTAGTCGATTAACTTATAAACAAAAGCTTATCAGTTAATGCTATAGACTATACGCATTCCCTTGCCAGTAACTTTTTAGCAGGTTGGCCAACAGCCTGGCTCAGTCCCAGCTTGTGCCGGGTCTGGGACCTATCTCTGCTGCAGCTCTGCATTTAAAGTATATAAGGAGCCAGGCAGGCAGGCAGCTGGGCTCAGTCCTGTCTTGCACTGGGTAGAGCTCAGACCCGCCCTCCCAGATGGGCTGCTGCTACCCCGTATCAGAGGCAGCAGTGCAAGGCGACAGGCAGCCAGTCTGCGTAGGGAGCTGGTTTTTAAATTGGCTTCCCTTGCAGACCATTCTCGCCTGGCATCTTACACTGCACAGCGTGGCAGGGGGCTCCTCAGGAGTGGAGCCACAGAGAACTGGCTGCCAGCCCCACTCCCAGGAACTATAGAATAGTCGAGTAACCAATAAGAATTCATGGGGTTAATCAACTATTCAGTCGACCTCATTAACCCTGTGAATTAGTTTATGTATAGAACAGAGTGTACCTACTTCCAGAAATTATTTTTCTCTGAAATTGATGTCCCAGAATACATCACTATGACATTGGATACCAAAAATGCCATTGCAGTCCATAATGTCAGAGTAAGGCATTTTGGGATATCGTCAGCCAATCAAGAAGGGATTGCAGAGATTAGGAAAAGGCAGCTTTGTTTGTTTTTATGCCGAATGCACCTGCATCCTGGTTAATGGAGCAATATGCCTGTTCCGGCTGTAGTTCTAATTTCAGATGCAGTGATATAAACAAGTTACTTTGGGGCTTTGTGCTCACAGTTTAACAATGAACTCGCATTCACCTGAAGAAGTGGGTTATGTCCATGAAAGCTCATGATTTCATCTTCGTTTTTGTTAGTTTCTAAGGTGCTGCAGGACTATTCGTTGTTTAACAGACATGACTCATTTTATATGTAAAGGGGGGTTCTTAATTTAGCTGCCAATTCTGCAAATTTTCCATGTATTCTGATGAGTCAAGCTGATTTCTTGCCTCTTGTTCCTAATTGTCAGTGATGCGCATTTATGGCGCCCCATTGTCTTCTGTGGGTTTTCTTCAGGGATAGATGCTTTGAACTTTAAAAATGTGGTCGATCCGTAAGAAATCAAATCTAGCTATACTTTTCTTAGCTGTTTTGGCTGCTGAGCTAATTGGAGTAAACTGGTGAACCTTTTAGTTAGGGATGTTAGATATTGGTTAATAATTGTGTAATTGGTTAATAATTGTGTAACTGCATCAAAACTTAGCTGTTACATGATTATTTGATAGTCCCTGGGGGTGGAACTGGCAGTCAGTGCACTACTGCCCCTACTCTTGGGTAGGGATGTAAGCTACTAGATGAGTTGTCAACTACCTGATAAACCTAGGCTTATTGGGTAGTCAAGTGGTTACTCAATTGTTTGCTCCCCTGTATCCTTTGGTATATATGATTGTGACTATTTTCTTCCACTATTTGATCTGAGGAAGTGGGTCTGGCCCACGAAAGCTCATCATCTAGTAAACCATCTTGTTAGTCTTTAAAGTGCTACATTGTCCTGCATTTTGCTTCTTATACAAAGGCAACCCAGGGGAGGGGAGAAGAATGTATGTAGTCGATAGAATTAACGGACAAGCCCAGGCCTATCGGTTAATTGCGTAATCGGCTACACTTTGACATTCCTAATTTGAGTTCCTAAAAAAAACCCTTAGCACTTGATTCACATGGGAGACAGCCCTGTGGGATAAAGAGGACTCGATACTTCAAAAACTGCTTAAGTTGAAAACACTGGAAAACTATGTATCTTTGAGAAGAGGACTCCTACCTTTCTGTTTTCCATCCGCCCTTTGGGCTGTCTGCAGTCAAGTATCGGTATCAAAAGAAAAATCCATTTACCATAATATTTATTCATATTTTATACTGCTAAACTCACAGATGTTTTTCACTCTCTTCCCAGCTCACAAGGTTGGCACGGGCGCCTCCGCATGTGTGGTGCTAGGACTTACGGCTGCCCTTACAAAGATAGGCAAGAGAGAAGGCTGGAAGCTATCAGGACCCCCCGAATATTAAATGTAGGTTGGCTCCTGCCTATAAAATGTTTTTCTAATTTCTATGTAATGAGGTATCCTGGAATAAAAAAGAGATTGCTGACTGCCAGGGTCTCTCATTGACTCTGGCTTTGAATGACGTGTGAATGATACGCAAGAAACATACTCTTATAAATAAATAAATAAATGTAAAATAGTAACTGAGATGCAGAGAGGTCTGCTGATTAGAGTAAGGAACTAGGGTTTGGGACTCACGAGTTCTGTGCTAGGATGAGCTGTGTGATTGTGAACCAGTCACTTGGTCCACATACCTCTGTATTGCAACAAGAGATTGAAAGGGAGACTAGAATGCAAGTGCATTTGTCTGTCGAAGATTCCTCTCCTAGTCTGAAGAGGAGAAATGTCGAATTGACAGTTCCAGAGATTGCTATAGAAGGTGCACAGATGTAACACAGGCTGTAAATATGTTAACACGTCTAGAAAAACCAATGTACTAAAGGCATTACAGAATGTATTCTACAATGTACAAAATCCATTGTAGGCACGAACTTCTGGGAGAGCACAAAATCCTGCAGTCTAGAGAAAACTTTCATTTTGCATAGTATCTGGCTTGCAAGGGGCTTGAAGCGGATGCATCAATTAGAGGGCTTTCCCTTCACCCTCTCTGCTACCTTCGCTTCTTGTCATGCAGACAGAAAGCAGCAGACTGTGCATTTTTATTGGGTTTAGTTTGCAGCAAATGTCCGGTGACTCTGGCACTGCAGAGCTTTGTTTCCCAGTGCCCGTTGTCACAGCACGGTTTACCCATGTCCCTCTTCCCAGCTCTGACACTGCAGAGGACTTGCAGTTCCCCATCCTCACATCTTCCTCCTTAGCTGGCCCAAATCTACCTGCCGTGCATGCCCAGAACCCTATGCCAGCATTTCCCAAACTATGGGCCGTGGCCTGGTACTGTGCTGCAGGAAAAAAATACTGGGCCTTCACCATGGTTGCCGGGGTGTTCCGGGCTCCCGGAGTGCCCGTGTGACACCTGGTCCACCAAGCCCTTGGCTGGCCTGGGCATAACCTGCAGCCTGATGTTCCAGCTCCTGGCAGAGGCATAGCTAGGAGAGGTGGGGGGGGGGGAGGGGGGAAGAAAGCC